GCAGGCTTCTAGACCTTTCCTTCCTTCCTTTCTTCTTAAACTCACTTATTGAAGGCCTGTGCCATCTGCCCCAGCACCTCCCACACTGGCTGTGCAAACACCATCCAGTGTAGTTGAAGCCTGGGGTTGGTAGGAGGCCAGGCAGGTCTGGTTAGGTTTGGTTCTGGCTGGGTCAGCTTGAGTCTAGTCAGGGTTTGGTCAGATCTGAGTCAGGTCTGCTCGGAGTCGGGTCAGTTCTGGATGGGTTGTTGTCTATTCTGGTTGGGTCTCTAGAGGGTCAGGGTCTGGTCAGGGTCTGGTTGGATCTGCTTTTAGAGGAGTGTGCCATTGTGCCCAGCCAGCCTGAGGTTGAGTTGATTTTTTTTGTTGTTGTTGTTCCAGGGATTGAACCCAGGGGCACTCTGCCACTGAGCCACATTGCTAGCCCTTTTTATTTTTTATTTTGAGACAGGGTCTTGCTAAGTTGCTGAGGCTGGCCTTGAACTTGGGATCCTCCTGCCTCAGCTTCCCAGGTTACTAGGACAGGTGTGCACCCCATACCCAGCCATCATCCCATTAAAGTCAGTGGTTCTAGCATCTTCCATCGAGTTATCAGTCATTACACACTCAATGTCAGAGCATTCTCATCACCCCAAAAGGACACCTCATACCTGTCAGTGTCCCCATTTCCCCTCCTCTCAGCCCCGGCAGCCACAAGTTGGCTTTCTATCCACATGGATGTGCTCTTTCTGGTCAGTTCCTATGAGTGGACTGTGTCCAGCCTCCCTCCTTGAGCACCCGTCCTCAGGTGCATCCCAGCTGTCGCTATTGTTAGTGCTTCCACTTTATGGCCAAGTACTTCCAGTGTATTGGCATACCATGTGTGTCCTGAGTCTTTGAGCTGAGCTGGTTGTCACTGGTGGCACTCAGGTGGTGTGGGACTGCAGGGCTCAGAGGCCACATTCTGGGCCCACTCTTGCTCTTCTGAACTGAGCTGGGGTCGAATGCGTGCTAGGCCAGACCTCTGCCTCTTGAGCTATTGCACCCTGAGTCCTCTTGGGTGAGACGTATCAAGAATTCACACGGGTACCCGAAACAGGTTCAGCTCTAGGCTGTTTGGTTGTGCCACATTAGAGTGTGGCATCTGTGCCACCCTTTCTCCAAAATCTCAATTGCCAACTGGCAGCTGCATGATGACACATCTGCTATCTGCCTTGACGTGTGCTGAGCACTGCAGGCCACCACTGTCATGACCACCACAACAGCAGGGGTGTCTGCTGGGCTTGTCTGCAATCTGCATCCCTCTGGAGACAAGTCACATCACTGTGTCTCAGATGCTGCCAGGGTTTTCTGTGGAATCCCAAGTCCCAGGGGCATGTGGGGTCCACCCATGTGGGTGTAGTGGACCAGGCAGACTTGGGCAGCAGAAGGGTATTCTTGCCTTGACCCTGGAAGCTTAGATCAAAAAGGCCCAGCCCCACCCCAGGCACAGTGGCCAGGCCTGTTATCTCAGCCACCTTGGAGGCTGAGGCAAAAGGATCGAAAATTCAAGGTCAGCCTCAGCAACTTAATGAGGCCCTAAGCAACTTAGTGAGATAGGGTCACTAATATAAAAAATAAGGGCTGGAGTTGTGGCTCGGTGGTAGAGCGTTTGCCTAGCACATGTGAGGCCCTGGGTTCAATCCTCAGCACTACATAAGAATAAATGAATAAGGTAGCTGGGCGCAATGGCACACGCCTATAATGCCATGGGCTCTGGAGGCTGAGGCAGGAGGATCATGAGTTCAAAGCCAGCCTCAGCAATAGTGATGCAGTAAGCAACTGTGTGAGACCCTATCTCTAAATAAAATACAAAATAGGGCTGGGGATGTGGCTCAATGGTCGAGTGCCCCTGAGTTCAATCCCCTGTACCCAAATAAATAAATAAATAGATAGATAAATAAAGCTATAGGAAAAAAGTTACATTTAAAAAAGTGTGGGGGGGCAGGCTGGGCATGTTGTTCAATAGTTAGGTGCCCCTGGGTTTAATCCCCAGTACCAAAAAAAGAAAAAGAAAAGAAAGGCCCAGACCCAGCTGCCTGGGTTCTACAGGTGAACGAGGTGGTCTTCAGTCCAGACGAGTCTCACTGTGCCACAGGGGGTGAGGACGGCAGTGTACGGGTGTGGTCCTTGGCCAGCATGGAGCTGGTGATTCAGTTCCAGGTGCTGAACCAGGTATGTCAGGGCCCAGGCCACCATGCATCCTGCCTGCTGAGCCCTCCCTCTGACTTTGGCCTTGTCCGTGGGGTAGTGCTGATCTCTCCTATATGGATGTCCAGAGCTGCCTCTGTCTTGCATGGAGCCCCCCATCCTGTGGACATCCAGAGCAGCAGCAGGTGGTGGCCGGCTACAGCGATGGCACACTTCGCGTATTCAGCATTGCCCGTACCTCAATGGAGCTCAAGATGCAACCCCACCGGGCTGCCCTTATGGCCCTGGCATTTTCCACTGATGGTGAGGACCAGGACTGCACAGGGCAGCAGTGGCTTCCCCTGCCCAGGCCCAGATCAGATCTCTAGGTTGGGGTCTGACTCACAAGGTATCCATGTTCCCACCTGGCCCAGGTCAAACCATCCTCTCTGGAGACAAGGATGGGGTTGTGGCTGTGAGCCGCCTCCGCACAGGGATAACCTTTCGTGTGTTGAGTGACCACCAGGGTGCCCCCATCTGTACCATCCAGAGCACAAGTAAAAAGGTTGAGCAGGCTGTGGGAGGGTCCTGGGCTGTGGCAGGGCAGGAGGGTGGTGCATGGGGCAGGAGGTGCCCACAGCCCTCACTTTCCCAGTATGGAGATCTAGGGGTGGAGGGCACAGACCTGTGGCTGGCTGCTAGCGGGGACCAAAGGATCAGCGTCTGGGCCTCTGACTGGCTTCGGGATTGCTGCGACCTCCTGGACTGGTTAAGCTTCCCAGCACCTGCCACCTTGGAGGTAAGCATCCCAGTGGTGGGGCTGGCATTGTGGCTCAGTGGTAGAGTGCCCGCCTGGCGCATGTGAGGCACTGGGTTTGATTCTTAACAGAACATAAAACAAATAAAGATTAAAAAGTGTGGTGAGGGTGCTGGGAGGCTGGGGACATAGGTCAGTTGGTAGAGTGCTTGCCTCACATGCACATGTTCAATCCCCAGCACCACAAAAAAAGTGTGTGTGTGGGGGGGCACGGGTGTGGTGGCACATTCTGGTAATCCCAGTGGCTTGGGAGGCTGAGGCAGGATCGTGAGTTCAAAGCCAGTCTCAGAAAAAAAAAAAAAGCTAGGCTAGGCACTTAACAACTCAGTGAGACCCTGTCTCTAAGATACAAAATAGGGCTGGGAATGTGGCTGAGTGGTCGAGTGCCCCCGAGTTCAATCCCCAGTACCCCCCCTCAAAAAAAAAGGGAGGGTTGGGGGAACAGTGCCTGCCCACTCCACCACAGCATGCTGCATCCCTCTTCAGGCCTCAGGCCTCCCTCCACCCTCCCTTGCTGCCTTCTGCCCTTGGGATGGGGCACTGCTGGTGTGCGTGGGCCTCGGTGCACATGAAGAGGTGGTCTTCTACAGCCTCCGCCAGAAGCAGGTGTGTGTATATACCTGTTTGGGCCAGCAGCCCCATAGGGCCATGGGGTCAAGGGAGCCTGGGTTGGGCCCCAAGCGGGAGTGCCCCCTGCCTAGGCCAAGACCCCTAGCCTCACACCGGCTGCCCCACAGGTAGTGGAGAAGATGTCATTGCCCTTCTTTGCCATGTCCCTGAGCCTGTCTCCAGGGGCACGCTTCATAGCCATTGGCTTTGCTGGTGAGTGTGGTGGGTACAAACTTGGGCCTGTCTTAGGTGGGGCCAGGCAGGCTCACCTGCCTCCCAGACACGCAGCTTACATGTGCCTCAGGATGCTTACTCCTGAAGCAGCGTGAGGGCACCTGTCCCAGAGCGTCACAGGCTCAGAAGACAGAGCGGGAGGCACTGGGTGTGAGTGGAAGATTAGTTGTAGCACCAAGGAGGACTTGCCTCACCCTGCCAAGACCTCCACAGTGGGCCCCAGCATGTGGAGATTACAGCCCTGACCCCTCTGGTCTCAGGTTTCCTGATGCCAACACCATGCCTAGCTGGGGACATGGCCAGGGAGGGTTGGGGGTCACTGAGCACTGCCTAGCCCTCCTCACCTGTGCTGTCTACCCACAGAATGCACACTGAGGCTCTTGGACTGCATGTCAGGGGTAGCGCAGGACTTCACTGGCCATGATGACTCTGTGCATCTGTGCAGGTTCACCCCATCTGCCAGGCTGCTCTTCACAGCTGCCCACAATGAGATCCTGGTGTGGGAGGTCATGGGCCATGGATGCAGTTGACTGCAGTCTTAGGTCCCTGATGGCCTGCTGGGCACCTACAGAAAAGCCAGGTTGGGATCGTGGCATGCAGAGCCAGATGGCCTGGACAGGCTGGGACTCTAAGTCATCAGCACCAAGCTCCTTTGAATTCGAGTGACCAGAACAGACAATAGGGCGTGGGATGTAGCTCAGTGGCAGAGACTTGTCTAGCATGTTATGAGGCCCTGGTTTCTATCCCCAGCACTAAAAACAAAAACAAAAAGACCTGTTGCCTTTTACTCTAAGGAGTTGTTGATGTTCCTGTCTTTTAGAATTTAAATAAACATGCACATTTATTACATTGTGCTACGTTGTTTCATTATTGCCCGATCTTTCACCTTCGCTGGTCACTCCAGTCCTGAAGTCATCTCCCCCAGCCCGCCCAATTCCTAGTCAAAGGCCCTGTCGCTCCACTTACCAGCTAGGAGGGCCATTCAGGTCTCCAAACCTGCGCCCACGTCACCTGCAGTGTCGGGCTCGCCCGTGTGGTGGCGCAACCGCACAGTTCGACTCCTCTGCCCCGCAGGGCTCGCTGATGCGGCTGCGCTGTCGGGGCCGGAAGTGTCCCTCAAGCACCGCGGTGGGAACCGGAAGTGAGGGCGCTAGGGGAACGCCAGGAGGAAGGCTGGGGAGGGTCTGGGCTGCGGCTGGGGCAGGGGGCCGGGGGCGGGGCACCGGGCACAGCCATGAGGCGGGACGTGCGCATCCTGTTGCTGGGCGAGGGTAGGCGCTGGGCTGGGGACCTTGGCGGGGGCGCGGGGCCGCGTGGTCTCGCCGCCCGCGTGACCGCCCGGCCACCCGCCCGCACAGCCCAGGTGGGGAAGACGTCGCTGATCCTGTCGCTGGTGGGCGAGGAGTTCCCCGAGGAGGTGCGCGCGGGCGGCCCGGAGTGGCGGGCGGGCGCGAGCCGGGCGCGGGTCGGGCGCGGGCTGAGGCCGCCTGTTGCAGGTGCCCGCGCGCGCCGAGGAGATCACCATCCCCGCCGCCGTCACGCCAGAGCGGGTGCCCACCCACATCGTGGACTTCTCAGGTAGGCCCCGCGCGGCGCCCGTGCCGGGCCTGTCCGCGCGCGCCTGCAGCGGGTTCTCTCTCTCCAGAAGCCGAGCAGACGGATGAGGAGCTCCGGGAGGAGATCCGTAAGGTGCGGGAGCTGCGTGGATGGAGGCGCCGGCCGTCCTCGACCCTGACAGTCAGCATCCAGAGCGGGACTCCTGCAACACCCCCTTCAGGGATCCAGGACAGTCTAGTGCCTGCAGTGCTGTCCAGAGGCAGAGGGCCCTCCCTCCGTCTCCTTCCCGGCATCTGAGGAGGCACAGTCTCCCCTTAAACTCCTCTGCAGTCCCCTTGCCCTGTACTCTGGTCCACTGCGCAGGATCTCCAGGCTCATCTGCTTTCAGAGCCCCTGGATCTAGCTCTTGCAGTCTCCATTGTATCCTGGTTGTATCCATCACTAGTTGTGTGCAGGCCACAGGAACCCAGGGGCAGCCCCCCAGCCCTCACAGGGCACATTGCTGTCCTTCTCTGGACTTTGGCTGCTTGTGACTTGAAAGTGGGAGGTGGAGTCAGGAGTCTCATCTTACAAGTAGCTTGCTCTTCAGGGGTGTGGCTGGGTCTGTCCTGAGCACTTGGGCCTACAAAACAGAGCTGTGGTGCTGGGGCCTGGTGTCTCCCTCTTGGGGGCAGGGAGGGACTTGTCTGAAGCTGCCTGGCCCAGGGTGATCCAGCCAGGGATACCCTGCCCTGTGAGTACCTGCTGTAATTGGCCAGGTTCCAGGGTAGGGTGGGCTTGCCAGGCTTTGGAGCTGCACCCTGTGCTGCTCAGAAGCACTTGAGACATGCTGGAGTCTTGGGGTGTGTGGAATTGTCTGAGCTGTCCACTCTAAGTGGGCAGCTTCTGGTCACCCTGTGCCTTGCTGCTGTTCTTGCAGGCAAATGTGGTGTGTGTGGTGTATGATGTGTCTAACGAGACCACGATTGAGAAGGTGAGCAGGAGGGAGCACCCCATCCATCCCAAGTCCCTGCCACTGGCTCTTTCAACAGTCCCCAGTGAAGACCAGGTAGTAGTCAGTGGCCTAGGGGAAGTTTTGTCCATGCCTGTGACCAGCCCTATCTCTATTAAGCATTTCAAGAAGCCCCACATCTCTGTGTTGAGGTCAGGCTTCTGGTACTGATTTCTCCACAGAGCACCTGGATGATTGTTCTATTTAAGCCAGCATTTCCTTTCCCTTTCCAACAAAGATAGCCTTAGAAAAAAGGTCCGGGGCCTGCCTGAGGTCTAGGATCTCAGTGTGCCTGGAGGGGCTTGTAGCTGCTCAGATTAGACATGGCCCTGCTTTCCCTTGTTTTCTCTTACTGGCCTCAGTTAGCCTCAAGCTCCCCTCCTCTCCTTGAGCCTGGTGCAGGCCCTGGGTGGGCACCTTGGACTGGGTGGGATGCCTCCTTTCATGGCCAGGCTTTGCCTTTCAGATTCGAACCAAGTGGATTCCACTGGTAAATGGGAGAACTGAGAGGGGGCCCAGGTAATAAGCAGGACCTTGGCAGGGAGGAGGAGTGGGACTGAGCTCCAGTGGCTCCCTGTACCTGGTAACCATGGGCTTCTCCCCAGGCTGCCCATCATCCTGGTAGGCAACAAGGTGGACCTGCGGTCAGGAAGCACCATGGAAGCTGTGCTACCCATCATGAGCCAGTTTCCTGAGATAGAGACCTGTGTGGAGGTAAGCAGGGAGAAGGCCGAGAAGAAGAGGGGCTCTGGTGAGTACAGAAGCACCAAGTTGCTATTGCAGGTGGTCATGGTGGCCGGCCTGACCTCACATCTGTGTCCTCTTCTGTTGCCTTCTGAGCCTGTGCTGTGCTCTTACAGTGTTCTGCCAAACATCTGAAGAACATCTCAGAGCTGTTCTACTATGCCCAGAAGGCCGTTCTACATCCCACAGCCCCCCTGTATGACCCTGAGACCAAGCAGGTGGGCAGTGGCTTCTCTGGGTATGGAGAGTGAGCAGATGGGAGTGGCAGGGTGGACCTTCCAAAGGCTGCTAGGGTGCTAAGTAGATGTTCCTGCAGCTGAAGCCTGCGTGCACCCAGGCCCTCACTCGAATCTTCAGGCTCTCCGACCAGGATCTGGACCAGGCACTGAGCGATGAGGAGCTCAGTGCTTTCCAGGTGTGCCCTGACCCAACTGCCCATCCTCAGGTAATAAAGCCTTGCTGTTCTGGGGCATTTGGCTGATCTGAAACCACTTCCTTTTGGAGACAGAAGTCCTGCTTTGGCCACCCTCTGGCCCCACAGGCCCTGGAAGATGTAAAGAGGGTAGTGTGCAAGAATGTGGTGGGCGGCGTGCAGGACAACAGACTAACCCTGGATGGTGAGGCCAGATGCTCTGTTGAGCCTGAGTATGTGGGGAGAGGGCCGCGTTGTTCCAGGTGCTATCCGCCTCTGCCCTTTACAGGCTTCCTCTTCCTGAACACACTGTTCATCCAGCGTGGACGGCACGAGACCACATGGACTATTCTGCGACGCTTCGGCTACAGTGACTCACTTGAGCTGACAGCAGACTACCTCTGCCCACGGTGAGTGGTAGGTAGGGCCTGGGGCCAACCCGCCTGTGTGTAAGGTCCTGCTCAGAGGACAGCTGAGACTGTTCTGCAGTGTGGGCCTCTCACTCTGGTCTGCCTGGATCCCTGTGTGTGTAAAGGACTGGGTTGAGTGGGGCCCCCTGCATCAGGCCTCATGTACCAGAGACCATGCCATCCTCCTTGCCTGGCCCCAGCTGAGGAGCCATAGGAGCCTCAGAGGGGCCTTGGCCACATGGATGGTGCTGGCAGGGTGAGGCAGGAGCTGAACTACTGTGGAGCACAGGATCCCCTGGGAGCTAGATGTCCCATACATTCCTGCAGGCTCCATGTACCCCCTGGTTGCAGCACTGAGCTTAACCACCGCGGCTACCAGTTTCTGCAGCAGGTGTTTGAGAAGCATGACCAGGTGAGTGCTACCACCCTGGTCAGCCCTTGCCGTTCCCCAGCACTTGTGACTATGGCCCTTCTGCCCACAGGACCATGATGGCGCCCTCTCACCCTTGGAGCTGCAAAACCTCTTCAGTGTGTTCCCAGTGGCCCCCTGGGGCCCTGAACTCCCACGCACTGTCCGCACTGACACCAGCCGGCTACCCCTGCATGGTTTCCTCTGCCAGTGGACGTGAGCACATCCCTTCTACCCCTGCCCCCACCCCCTGCTGCCTTCCTCACTGACGCTGTGCCTCGTGCCTCCAGCCTAGTGACCTACCTGGATGTCCAGCGCTGCCTCGAGCACCTTGGCTACCTAGGCTACCCCACCCTCTGTGAGCAGGACTCCCAGGCACAGGCCATCACAGGTGGGCACCTACCCTCACCAGGCCCTGGGTCCAGCCTCTCCCCAGCATTTTCCTTCACCTGAGTCTCTGCTCACAGTCACTCGTGAGAAGAGGCTGGATCAGGAGAAGGGGCAGACCCAGCGGAATGTCCTCATGTGCAAGGTGGTAGGGGCCCGAGGAGTGGGCAAATCTTCCTTCTTGCAGGCCTTTCTTGGCCACAGCCTGAGGGTAAGCATCTGCAGAAACCCCAGTCCCCACCTGGGGACCCAGGGGCAGGAGAGGGCACTGTGGGGAGTGCGGGACCAGGAAGCATAAGGCTCTCTTTGTCCCTATGACACCAGGACACCAGGGCATCCCCTGGGGAGACTCCCATCCACGTCATCAATACAGTGCTGGTCAGCGGACAAGAGAAGTACCTGATTGTGAGTGCTGGGAGTGAGATACCCATGTGCCCATGCCACCTGGTAGATTTGTCACAGGGTGGCCCTTGGGGGGGCCAACTCCTGGGAACACCCCTCAGAGCCCCATCTGTTCCAGCTATGTGAGGTGGATGTGGACAGCATGCTGGCCACTTCCCTGGACACCGCCTGTGATGTTGCCTGCCTGATGTTTGATAGCAGTGATCCTGCATCCTTTGCATTCTGCGCCACCGTGTACAAGGCAGGGTGACACTGGGAGCCCTGCAGGTGGAGGACAGCTCTGGGGCAGGTGGCTGGTGGGCCCTGCCTCACACAGCCCCTCCTCCCACAGCGCCATTACATGGATGGCCAGACCCCTTGCCTCTTTGTGTCGTCCAAGGCCGACCTGCCTGCAGGTGTCGCCCCACCAGGCCTGTCACCTGGGGAGTTCTGTCGCAGGCACCGGCTGCCTGCCCCCACCCCATTCTCCTGCAGCGGCCTGGCCCAGCCCAGCACTGATATCTTCACTCAACTGGCCACCATGGCTGCCTTTCCGTGGGTGCTTGCCACCAAGGCCTTGGGAGGAGGGTGGCCTGCCTTATACCAGGGCTCTAAGGGTGCTGATCACCTGGCTGTGCTGGGTAGGGGCTGTGGAGTGGGGTTCTGGGGCACTGAGAGCTGTTCTTGGTGCAGCCCTCCAGGCCTAGCTTCTGCCAGCGGCCTGGGACACAGTGGGGAGATATGCACCCTAAGTACCCATCTTCCCTCACAGACACCTGGTGCACACAGAGCTGCGCCCCACCTCTACCTGGCTCCGGGGAATGCTGGTGGCTGTTGGGGCCACCGTGGCTGCAGTCCTCAGCTTCTCACTCTATAGAATCCTGGTGAAGAGTAGATGATGCCTCTCAGCCCCCTCTCCTGACCTAGTGGGGCTCCACAGGGGCAGTCTGGTGCAGGCTTTCAGCCTCACAGCATGACTATGAGCCCCTGGGGCACTGCTCTGGCCCCTGCATCCCCTGCCCTTTCCTCAGGCCCCTCCTCAGGGCTGGGTGTGCCCCCAGCACTGTCTCACGAAAGCTCTACCCAGTCTGCCTGGCTGAGCTGTGCTGAGAACCTGGGCTTGTGACCCAGAAGCTCCACTGCCTGGCCTGAGGGCTCCATGGCAGATGTTCCTGGTGGGAGGCCCTTTCCTCACCTTTGTGGGTATTGGGTAAGGTGACCATTGACCCTAGACCCAGAATTCTTAGGGCTCTCCCTTGCTTCTGGTGTCAGTGGGTATGCAGGGGCCAGTAAGTGGCTAGGCTGCTGTGTAACCCCACCTTCCCATCCAGTTTGAAGCCTTGTCCGTGGCAGAAGACATGAGGTTGGGTTTCCTGATTAAACCTCACTTGTTTTTTTCCTCTCTGGGATCTCAGTCTTTGGAGACTGCTTTTCTTGAATCAGTCTGAAGTATGTTCTTTGTCTTGGTGTGATTGTGTCACTGGACCCCCTCACCTCCCTTCCATCCCTAAGTCCCCATCATGTGACCTCAGGCCAATGTGGAAAGTCCAGTTTTGGGTAACCTGTGGTCCAAGAGCCTTAATGTCCACTGACATGCATTCTCTGTGCTCCCTCCCTTTCCTTGGGCCCTCAACACTGCCTCCCCAAACCTTTCTACTCAGTCAGCCTGGCTGAGCTGCACTGAGTACCTGGGCTTCTTGTGACCCAGCTGCTGTAACAACCCACCACAAACATGGACAGAGGGAGCTCTGGCCTGAGATGAGTAGGGCCTTCAACCACAGCATGGCTTCCCCAACCTGAGCCCCTCTTCCTCATCTGCCTTTAAGGAGTAGCAAGTGGGTGTCCCAGTGAACCTGTGTGCTGCCTGCTCTACAGAAATGCCTGATTTGAGGGTCTCGAGCTGGACCCTGATATCCCCCACCTCTCTGCCAGCTTAGTTCCACTGGCTTTGAGGCTGGACAGGAGATGCTATTTCTAGCTCACAATGTCCCCTGAGGCCCAGTGGCCTGAAGTAATAGCTCTATTGTATCTGCAGCAGTGGGCAACTTTGGCCCTTGGCCGGTTGCCATCGCTTCATGTCCTCTTTACCCATCACCTCCATCATTAGAAGGGTTTAGTTGCTCTCCCCAGGAGCAGCTGCTCTTCTCCCAGCTGCAGCCCTGCCCTTGAAGACTGCTGTCCATGTGGATGCCCCCTGTTATCCTGTCTGGGGCTTCCCGGTTGGGAGGCCCTGATGCCCTGATTCTCCCACATTCCTCCAGGCCCCTGGGGTGGGGGACGGGGGATGCAAATGGGTTGTTTTGGTCGTCTGAGCAGGAGCAGCTGTGGCAGGACCTTTCCCACCTCTGCTACCCACCTGGGGCTATGAGGTTTCCTTGCTGTGGCACTGGGGAGAGGAACAGGGGTCACCTGCTGCTGGACAGATGCACTTAAGGAACTTCCATCCCAGCGACGGGAGCGCAGGGTCACAACTTGGGGAGTCAGGAAGCCTAGCGGTCAGGAGAAGCTTCTCGGAGGAAGGGAGGCCCATGCTGAAGCTTGAGCCCCAGAAGGCTGCAAAGGAAAGCTGAAGGTCTTAATTGGGCGGAGTTTTAGAAACTGCACCTTGACTGAATCGCCGTCTGAGCTTGGCAGAAGGAGCTTCAGCTGCCCGGAGGGCGCACACAGTGCCTGCATCGGAACCATCCGCTTGGAGGAGGCCGGTTCCTACCCAGGGCGTGCATCCGGGGCGGTGCGTCCGTGTGCGAGGGGCGCGCGTTTCGTGGCGGCGTGTGCGCGGGGCGGGCGGTTCCGTGACGCGACTTGAGCGCGGCGCGCGCCGAGCGGAGCAGGCGGAGTGGGCCGGCAGGGGCGGAGCGGAGTCGTCCGCAGAGCAGCCCCTCCCGGCCTCGGCCGACCCCGGCCCGTTGCCCGGCCCGGCTCTATGGACAGGAGCTCGCTGCTGCAGCTCATCCAGGAGCAGGTGCGTGGGGTGGGGGCCGGCACCGCCCCCCGACGATCCTCCCGCTGCGGCGCTGGGCTGGGGGAGGGACCGGGCTTCCAGACAGCCCCGCCGGACACCCGCCACCCAAGCCCCCTCTCCGCGTGCCCCTTGGCCCCTATGCCTGAGCTTCCAAGGAAAACAGAGCGGTGAGAGGGTGGTCTCGTCTTCTGACTCGGGCCCTCCCTCCCAGGACGGGGAGGGTGGAAATAAGGTGGGGGGAGCCCTGGGGACCCGGGCACCGTGCCCTGGAAGGACCTGGGAACAAGCCAGGTCCCAGGAACCAGCCTGCTGCTCTTAGCCAGCCCGGCTCAGCCCCATGGTCCGGGTGGGCGCACCCTCAAGCCTTGGTCGGCGGCTCCCCCACCACAGCAGCTGGACCCTGAGAACACAGGCTTCATCGGTGCGGACACCTTCGCTGGGCTGGTGCACAGCCATGAGCTGCCCCTGGACCCGGCCAAGTTGGACATGCTGGTGGCCCTGGCCCAGAGCAACGAGCGGGGTCAGGTCTGCTACCAGGAACTGGTGGACCTGGTCAGTGCCACGGTGGTTGGGCAGCAGGGGGGTGGCCCAGACCTGGACAGGCACATTGCCCTGGCCAGAGCAGGGTAGGCAGGTGGCTTCTTCCTGGGGAAGGCTCATAGATTGGGACAGTGCAGGGCCTCAGACCCTGTGGGCAACCTAAGGGGCAGGGTGCTGTGGGGGATGACACTACAGCCCATGCTGATATCCCTGTCCCCCAGATCAGCAGCAAGCGCTCCAGCAGCTTCAAGAGGGCCATCGCTAATGGACAGCGGTCACTGCCCCGAGATGGGCTGCTGGATGAGCCTGGCCTAGGTGTCTACAAGCGGTTTGTGCGCTACGTAGCCTATGAGATACTGCCCTGTGAAGTAGACCGCCGCTGGTACTTCTACCGGCACCGCAGCTGCCCGCCCCCTGTGTTTATGGCCTCAGTCACCCTCACCCAGGTGGGCCTGCCCACCTGCTGCCCTAGGAGCTTCCCACGGCCCTGCCCTACCCAGCCCTAACACTCCTGTCCCCAGATCATCGTGTTCCTGTGCTATGGGGCACGCCTCAACAAGTGGGTGCTGCAGACCTACCACCCCGAGTACATGAAGAGCCCCCTGGTGTACCACCCTGGGCACCGCGCTCGCGCCTGGCGCTTCCTCACTTACATGTTCATGCACGCTGGGTGAGTGGGGCTGCTGTGCCTGTCGTGAGCACCGTTATGGTCAGGCCAGCTCAGCCAGAAAAATGCAGTCTTGAGGTGGGCCTGGAGATAGGTGGGCAACACAGCTGACCCCACCCTCCTGCGGCCAGGTTGGAGCAGCTGGGGTTCAATGCCCTCCTGCAGCTGATGATCGGAGTACCCCTGGAGATGGTGCATGGTCTCCTCCGCATCAGCCTGCTCTACCTGGCGGGTGTGCTGGCAGGTAAGGCAGGCGTGGGCCCTCTGCCCACTGCCCTGGCTGGCTGCTTCTTCACACTTCCTTCTGCTCTGCAGGTTCCCTGACTGTCTCCATCACGGACATGCGGGCCCCTGTGGTGGGGGGCTCTGGAGGGGTCTATGCCCTGTGCTCAGCACACCTGGCCAACGTTGTCATGGTAATGGGGCCACCTGGAGGCTGGGTGTGGGAAGGGGCCCACTTGGCCTGCCTCACGGCCTCTCTGTCTGCATGCCATCAGAACTGGGCTGGGATGAGGTGTCCCTACAAGCTGCTGAGGATGGTGCTGGCCCTGGTGTGCAGTGAGTAGGGGGCTGGATGGGGGAATGGGGGGCTGCAGTCTGTAAACAGGACAACTCCCACCTGTTGCTCCCTCTGCAGTGAGCTCTGAGGTGGGCCGGGCCGTGTGGCTGCGCTTCTCCCCACCACTGCCCTCCTCGGGCCCACAGCCAAGCTTCATGGCACACCTGGCTGGCGCAGTGGTGGGGGTGAGCATGGGCCTCACCATCCTGCGCAGTTACGAGGAGCGCCTGCAGGACCAGTGCGGCTGGTGGGTGGTGCTACTCGCCTATGGCACTTTCCTGCTCTTCGCCATCTTCTGGAACATCTTTGCCTATGATCTGCTGGGTGCCCACATCCCCCCACCGCCCTGACCTACTCCCAGGCACCTAGGCTAGGCCAAGCATGCGGTGGGTTGACCACCAGGCAGGCCTGCATGTTGCCCCTGGTGAAGAGACACCTCAAGGCTGCTGCTCTCTGTGGGGCAAGTAGGCCCTGCAGTCCACTGAGCTGAGGCCAAGCCTAACACCAGCCCTGGCTGCCCCTCCCAGTCCTGGGGAGAAGGTTGCTGGGCCAGGGTTGGACAGAGATCCCTAAAGACAGCCCCAGAGAAGACACCACCTCACCAACCCCACCCCAACCCACCCCCAGGACTTGCAGTCTGAGCCTTTTGGGGAGAATGAATAAATATTTTACACGGTGACAGGAACCTGTCCCAGGGCTTTGGAGGCTTCTCTGCCCCTAACCCAGATCACAGGGGACCCGCCACACACTGAAGAGAGCCTGGACTTCCTTCCTCCTTGTACCTCTGAACCTAGATGAGAGTGGAGTTAGAGTACCAATGACCCCATGCTATGAAGGAGCTGGTGGTACCTGGGGAGGGACTGTGGGCCTTCTGCTCAAACTGAGTTTAGCAAGTGTTTATTGAGCTCCTGTAGCACCCAGTCTCCTATTTGGTCAGCCTGCCATCCAGAGAGACCTGTGTCTTGTGGCAGGTTAGCAGGCCCTGGCCCATGGTCAGGTTCACTTGGTGGGAGTCCTGTGCTTCTTGACCAGCCTAGTGTCTTGTGGGTGGCTGAGCTGGTGCTGAGATCGGGCAGCAAGTCTGGCACAGCTTCGGCTCACAGACCACATCCACTGTACTGTCTTCACAAGGGGAGGGGGTCCATCACCCTGAGGCACAAGCTGGGGATAAGCCGGAGTGGGCCCCGAGGGCCCAACCAGTGCTCCCTGATAAGGTCCTGGATGTCCTCCCAGCCCACCAGCTGCTTACTCACCTCTGTTCAGGGCTGCAGCACTCTCTTGCCCCTGGTCCAGGTACAGCAGGTAGTGCCTGAGAATATACTGCAAGGTAGGCCGGCCTGGCAATGTGGCCAATTGGGGGGTTCCAGCTGCCCCCCAAGAGATGGGGGGATTCTCAAGACGGATCTCAAGACCATGTCATACATCACCAACTCTTTCCACAAGCAAGGGCACTCAGGTGCCCAGGCTGCGCCTGATTTCCCCAAGACGGTGGCGCCACCCACAACACCGAGGGTGCACAGCTTCGTGACTGCGGCGCGCTCCCTCGGAAAGCTGCCAAAGGCAATGGTTGAACGCTGCATCACCAGCTCTGGGGGTTGTTGGCCACAAGCTGCTGCAGACAGTGCATTGAGGGAAGCCCAGGTGCGGGACCTCGCCAGGGAGGCTCGGACCCCGGAGAGGC